GATATAATTAAAAAAGATAGTTGATTATTGAGTCTCATCCCCAGGTGCCCAGTGCATGTGTATTTGATGTCACAACAATCTAGTCTTTATACAGTGGATATAAAAAGTATACACACCCCTGTTAAAATGCCAGGTTTTTGTGATGTAAAAAAATGAGACAAAGATTAAATTCCACCTTTAATGTAACCTCTAAAGGGAACAATTCAATTGAAAAACAAACTGAAATTTTTTAGGTGGAAACAGACTTACAATAAGCTGGTTGCATAAGTGTGCACACCCTCTAATAACTGGGGATATGGCTGTGTTCAGAATTGACCAATCACATTCAAACTCATGTTAAATAGTAGTCAGTACACACCTGCCATCATTTAAATTGACTCTGATAAATCCCAAATAAAGTTCAGCTGTTCCAGTAGGACCTTCCTGACATTTTCTCAGTTGCATCTCAGAGCAAAAGCCACGGTCCACAGAGAGCTTCCAAAGCATCAGAGGGCTCTCATTGTTAAAAGGTATCAGTCAGGAGAGGGGTACAAAATAATTTCCAAGGCATTAGTTATACCATGGAACACAGTCAGACAGTCATCAACAGGTGGAGAAAATATGGCAGACAGTGACCTTACCAAGAACTGGACGCCCCTCCAAAATTGATGAGAAGATGAGAAGATAACTGGTCAGCAACATTAAAGGAGCTGCAGGAATTTCTGCCAAGTACTGGCTGTGTACTACATGTGACAACAATCTCCCATATACTTCATACGTTTGGGCTATGGGGTAGGGTGGCAAGACGGACATCCAAGCCCGGCTAAATTTAGCAAAAAAATACATGAAGTCTCCCAAAAGCATGTGGGAAAATGTGTTATGGTCTGATGACACTAAGGTTGAACCTTTTGGCCATAATTCCAAAAGGTATGTTTGGCGCAAAAACAACACTGTACATCATCCAAAGAACACCATACCCACAGTGAAGCATGGTGGTGGCAGCATCATGCTTTGGGGCTGTTTTTCTTCAGCTGGAACCGGGGCCTTAATCAAGCTGGAAGGAATTATGAACAGTTCCAAATATCAGTCAATTTTGGCATAAAACATTCAGGCTTCCGTTAGAAAACTGAAGATGAAGAGGAATTTCACCTTTCAGCTCAACAACGACCCAAAGCATACATCCAAATCAACAAAAGCATGGCTTCACCAGAAGAAATAAATGTAATGAAATTAAAAGGTGCTTCAACAAAGTATTAGTTTAAGGGTGTGCACACTTATGCAACCAGGTTATTGTAAGTTTTTTATTTTTTATTTTTCCCCCTAAAATATTTCAGTTTGTTTTTTCAATTGAATTGAAATGAATTTTAATTGAAGGTGGAATCCTTGTAAAATTGTTTTACATCACAAAAACCTGGCATTTTATTAGAGGTGTGTAGACTTTTTATATCCACTGTATGTTTTTTGGCTCTGATTGGTTGTTTTTGTTCAGGCCCGGTGGAGTCTTGCAAATACCATTAGAAGCACTAGAACGAGCCAGAGGAACCTTATATTCACAGATTATCTGTCTCATGTTTTACTGTCAGGATATAGTGAAAATGTCAGCAAGTATGACAAAAGGTTATTTTTATAAACGTTACCTACTGCAGCTTTGATTAACATGTAACTTATCAATTTATGAATTTAGGTTAATTTATGAATGATTACTTTGTCACTGAATTCTGAAGCAAAGAAACTGATTTCATATTTGGTATTGTTAGTTAGCCCTGTGATCTGGTGCATGCGCAATGCTGACCCTGTTTTTTTTCCACACACACCATAAGCCTTAGCAATAAAATCTGGCATGCTCTAACATGAACAATTAACTGAGCTTACCTCACAAGGACTCGGTAGATATCTGCAGGCTTCAGCAGATAATCTCTGAGCCTATACCCTGTTGCTCCACAGACAACACCAAATTGTGAGCGCTGTAACTTCGAACATGTGCAGCGCTTTCCTCCTTTTTCCTCTTTACATATCTGTATAGGGTGGTGGTGCATACTTAATGAGCCGTAGCTGCACCGCTTATGGACTGTCCTTGATATGCTTCTGCGTACACAGCTGGACTGGTGAGACCTCGGCTGGTCTTCCTCACTGGATTACTTTCATATTGAAGGAAACACATCGATTAAAGCTATAATAAATTTCACCATGACTGAATATTGAGATTATATTTTCAGTCGTATATCTAAATGCATAAAATAATGTTTGATTGTGGATTCACCAAAAGGTCTTAATTGCAAGTACATGTGACACATGGGTCAATCTTAAAACAAAAAAACTTGTGAACAAAACAGTACTGACACTGAATGATAATACAACAATGAATAAATTATGTAAAAACTTTGAAATAACTAAATCATGTTTCTCTTACATGTGATGTTATTAGTTGTAAGACTTTTTTTCTTAATCTGGTAAATTAAAATGCAATCTGCTATTTTTTGATGAATGCATCTGCTGTTTGGAACACAAATTAGCCTTTATGACTCTCAGTTGGTTATCTAATGTTGAATATTTGAAAACTAAAATAATTAAGTACTGATTGTCAGAGCTGTTGAGCTGCTGCAGCAATTAGCACTGAAGGAACTTTATGTAACTGTATTTACATGACTTTTAGTTCGAATGCTTGACCCTGATGTGTTTACATGTTGTTTACCCTCTCAGGCTGACAATACAGGCTGCCTTCTGAACACTGAAACTTGAAACCTGACATTCCAGACTAAACCACAAAAATGAGCATGCACACACACACACACACACACACACAAACCTAAACACACCAAAGACTGTGTAATTGTAAATCAATAAACAATTAAGGTACAACCATCATAACACACTGCTTGCTGACCTCAAATCCCTCGGCGCTGACTGTGTCTCCATTTACCCGTTGTTTGTATGAGGGCAGCTAGAACAATAATGGGATGGCTGTCGGCTAATATGTGGACACTCGCCAATGAAGCACGTAGCAACGATAAAGCTTCAATGGCTTGTGTTGCTTTTTGTGCGTCGTCAGACTGTGAAGTTACATTTCACTGTGATGGATATCGCAAGCAATTTCAAGATCATTACACAATATATTGTATGTTTCTACATGAAGGTGTGATTTCATATGGCGTAACTGGGTTGTGGGGCATTCTGGTACCAAATGGCACAGACTATTTTACCACAATGTCCCTGGTTCGAATCCAGCTGGGAATACCACCTCTGATGCATGTTATACCCCTCTCCCTCTAGTATCTGTCTCCATACTATCAGCATTCCAATAAAAGTTAACATGTTTAAATAACTAATCCAGCAACATGTTCTTTCCCCTCCAGAATGACATAATGTGCCTCTGAGCAAGGCACTTAATCTGCAGTTGTTCCATTGCTAGCTAGTTAATTAATTACACAAGGCCTGATCTTATGTTCTCTGGATACATTTTACTATTAGTGTTAGATTTGAGAGGAAATCTTCCGGCAGATCAGATGTGAGGAGCAGCTGTTTTTTTTCTACTTCCAATTTGAGGAGCAGGTTATTTCATAAAGACCACTGCATTGGTGAGGCAGGGGTGGCTTAATAATGGCCTCTGGCAATAAAAAAAGAAGAAAAGAAAGAAATAAAAGAACATAAAATGCTAGTTTACACAGCAGAGGTTATCCTGGTTCGACCTTTGCTGCAGCACATTCTAACCTCATCTGGCATTGCACCAAGTTGGCCAATCAAATATATGAAAGTGCACATTTTCTGGAAGATTATCTTGTAGCATGTACAAAGTGAGTGTGGCGATACAGGGGATCAAATTATTGTTGGTGTGATAACTTCCAAGCATGGTAAAATCCTCTCTCTAAGAAGTAAATAATGCCAGTCCGTTGTCATACCCAGGTTGTCAAATACCGACGTCTCACACTGACACACTGGGTCCTCTTAAATGTCTGTACAAGACGCAGCAGACTTCAATGTAAACCCATTCGCGTCAGGTGACGTATTATTAGTAGTGGGAAAAGTCCAAATCTGGAGGTGGTAGCATGGATGAGCGGCTCGAACAATAACCGGACTGAGACAGAGGAGACCAGGGTTTGTGTCCCATGTGAAACCCAAAGTATAGTTATTTTAAGTTTGAAGTTAAATTGCATGCAACACCTGATTTATGTAATATAGTTATTTTAAAGGTCCAGTGTGTAACATTTAGGAGGATCTATTAGCAGAAATGAAATATAATATTCATAAGTATATTTTCATTTGTGTATTATCACCTAAAAATAAGAATCGTTGTGTTTTCGTTACCTTAGACTGAGCCATCCTCTTAGTTCGCCAAGTTGAACGGCTGTGTTTCTACAGTAGCCCAGAATGGACTAATCAAACACTGGTTCATGTTTTTCACAGCCATGTTGACGAGGGGTATTCGGTTGGTTTCTAACTACAAACTCACTGCTAGATGCGACTAAATCCTACACACCTTTAACTGTATTATTAATTTTACTTGATAAACAGACATGGGGGAAGTACTTTTATCCACCCCATAGTGTCTGGTCTAGTATGCCTTTGAGGCTGCATATCCTACCTTTTGGTGAATCAGAAAAAGTTGTGCTGCATTAGTTACTAGAAGTTCCTGTTGTAAGCTGCACATACAAACATGAACTGGATTACTTTTCACCCCAAAATCTGGATGTTTATCCATAATGGAGTTCCGAGATACCGTCATCAGTGGACACCTACTGATCGGGCTACAGACACAAAAACGAGATACTCTTTCACACATATTAAGGTAGAAAAACACTAAATCCATGAGCCTCACAGCTGCTGATCTGCAGCCAGTCCTGACCTCTGACCTATGAGAAACAACATGTTTCTATCACTTCAGAAGAAGATAGAAGAACAGCAGATAACACAGAACGCAGACTGAATGCATGCTGTTGAGCTTTCTAAGAGATTTAGATGAAGACAAGATTTTGTCAAATTTACACATCTTTATAAGACAAGACAAAATGGAAAAGGAGATCGTCTGATTGTTTGAAGACATTTTCTTAAGAGAGTCACATTAATACAAAGATCTATCATGGAATACCAGTATTTTATATACTGCAGTTGTTATACCACATTTTTATATTCTGTAACATGTGTACATGGTAATATGCCAACTTTGCTTCAAAAAGTGTTCAGTTAGTTCATCCAAGAAAAGAAAGAAAGAAAGAAAACTTTATAAACAATATTCAACTCACCATGAAAGGATTACAATACCCTGCAAATGCTCACGGTCTGTGTCATAATGTCTTTAAGCGTTTATCTTTACCACAAGAGAATACACAAAAAACTCAATGCTTTGGGTAACTCGTTGGATTTGATCCTGCCTTTCATATAAAATACTTGAAATAACTGAATGCTCATTAATGATTTACATAGTCCCAAGGGGAACAGAGACAACACTGTGATACTGTGAGAATTCATGTCAAGATAATAAGGAAGAGATGTGAAGAGTTCCGATCCAAAATGCTGTATATCCAAATACAACATAACATAAAATCGTTGCCTGAGGTTTGTCATTCAGTGTCTGAGAAATTTACAGGATCCACTCAGTAAAATTAACTCATTTTGTGAACTGAGCACTTAACTATGAACGATTCTTTAAAAGTAACATCATTTGGTTTTAGTTTTTTTCTTTCTGCTGTTGAGCTTTTTTTGGGGGGGAGGGTCATGTATTTCTGTGACATTTTGGAACAAAACTCTTCATGTTTTCCAGCTCATTAAATACTGCAATTATTAAAAATATGGAATGCATAATACCACACACTTAGCTGATCCACTTGAGTGATTGTTATTTTTGATGCACCGTTAACACAAGTATCTACCTGCTTCAGTGGCTCCTCTCTGGTCATAACAGAAGAGGTTTTTTATCAAAGCAACAGATGGGTATGAAACCTCATCATTGCTAAACATGCAAAGGCCACGAGTGCGAGGAAGCAAAGAGTGAGTCATGTACAGCTGATGAAAAAGAAATCAGAATAATAAAACAGGAAGGTCTTTATTTTGTTGTTCTTAAGGAAATGCGAGGGAAGAAGCCATCCTGTTGTTTCTTTTTCTCTGCTTGTGAAGGATCCTTGTGGTATTTAACCTAAAATGTTTTCAATCAACAGTTTAACATTCTGGGAAATATGCTTGGGAAATCAGATTTCTTGCAGAAAGAGAACATTGGTACCACTCTCGTATCTGTACAGTTAATTTGAAGCTACTTCCAGCTAGTAAGCTGGTTAGCTCATCTTAGCATAAAGACTGGCAACAGGGGGAAACAGCTAGCACACTTCAGGGACTCACTGAACCCCTACTGACTCGTTTATATATTAAAAAATGTTGCGTTAAAAGTAAATTAAAAAATGTGTACACATTAAAAGATTTCAAATAGAGCCATCAGAAAGTAGCGCAAGGAAATGATGCTAGCCAGAACCTAAGTCCGTTCACTGAGACATTAGCCTCCACTACAGCATTTGCTATTAGAAGTTGAAACGTTTGTGATTTTAACAAAGTTAAATGCAATGATTTTGAATTTATTAGCATACAAAAAACTACAGCTCCCATTAAAATTGAACCAGCACAGCAACGACAGTACTGACTTCTTCTTAACTTAGCTTCGTGCTCATCCTTAACATTCACCAACACCTTCTTCTAAAGTCATTTTTATATCACACCACCCGTCAACATGTCTCCTCCTGTTACTTGCATGACCCTCCCTAAAATGCAAAATGAGAATGCCACTTGCAGACACTTCCACAAATTAAAAGCAAACTGCAGCTCCAGCCTGATGCGTGAGAGAGATCTGACCTAAAGTGTGGAACACATTACAAACTGTTGAGGAAGGCTTTGTTCAAAGGCTGGTGCCTTTAAACCCCCCCCCCCCTCCAGTCTTCATGCTAAGCTAAGCTAAACTTCATATTAAGCTGACAGTTATATTGATCTATCGAACTCTCAGCAAAAAAACATTTTTTTTGACAAACTATTCCTTTAAGTTACAGATTTTTTTTTAACTGTGTGTAATAACTTTATGCTTCCAGTTACAAAAAATGTTTTCTTCAGATTTGGAAAAGCAGTTTCACACCAAAAAGCCTGAAAATTACAATTTCTCAAAGCGTGTGTATGTGTTTGGAGGTGTGGTGTAAGATACTATTTAGCAACGCATTATTCTTGCCATAAAAAGCAAATGAACTGGAAAGTGAATTTGAGGTCTCATCACCTCTTTGGAAAAGTGTCGTGTTGATGGCTCTGAGTCGTCCCCCGTTCTCCAGAGTCTCTGTGATTCAGTGTTGGAGGACTTTCCGAACTGTCATTCACCTTCACCACATAAGACAACTTACCAGCACTGACACGGGTAATTCCCAAGAGAAATCCCCTCTAGATTAGGATGAAAACAAATATCATAGCTCTATACTTTAGCCACCCAGATCACAGTCAGAAAAGGAACCAAAATAACACCCAAAAAAATAAGTTAACATAATTTTGACACATAGAATTTTACAATATGTACATTATTTTTAAATTAAAATAGATTTGTCGGTTGTCTGATTGGGTAGGTCCTCTACAGAGCGCTCCCTTTTTATCAACCATCCAGTGTTATTCCACAGAAGCAGAGTTCCCATTAAAAGCTCAAAGCCAGCCTATCAGAGTGCAAGTAAGGCTACCATCGTCAAGTCCCTGCCAATAGTTTGTGGGTGACGTCTTCGGACAGGGCCGAGCCCTTAGCAATACACATGGCAGACCCTTCAACACCCTGACAAAAAGAAATAAATATAAAATATATGTAATATTTCTATATATATTCATAAAACCAAACCCAGGATAGATTTTAACTCTGATGTGTTCTCTCTATCATATAATCAAACTGTGGCCATTTTCCTATTGCCAGTCTACTTTACTTCCCTTTTCGTCTCCATTTTTGCAGTTTTTCAAGGAAATAAAAAGTCTTCTTCAAACCTGTACATCTTATACGCAAGTAAACAAAATGTAAAAGTGCGTGTTTTTTTGAATACGTTTTATCCACTATATCCAAAAGTGTTGCAGGCACTTAAGTCCTTCCCAAACATTGTAGGTGTTTTTCGACAGTGGAGCAGGTTGGTTTGGTTATTCCTGGATTCGTGTGGGTCGGTCTGTCTGTATGTCTCTGTCGATCTATCTGTCTGGCGAGGAACGGGCCACCACCGGGACGCTGCTAGCCCAGGATGTCCAGGTAGACCGGCGTGGCTTTTCCCATGGCGAACAGGACCTTCTGAATGTCCTTAATGTTTAGTCGCTGCTGTGGTTCCCTCTGCCAGCAGCCCAGCATGATGTCATACACCTCCTTAGGACAAATCCGTGGCCTCTCCAGAACCCGACCCTGGGTTATGCACTCAATAACCTGCAGAGGAGAGAGGGCAGTGGAGTGAGACAGATGATTTTCACTGACTGATTGCTTTGGTTTGTTCATAATGAGAAACCGGTGACACTGAGCAGGCTGTCCTTTGAGGTTTGAACTAATGAAACTGAGATGAAAGAAGTAAACAGTATGCATTCCGTCTTAAATTTGTCCAATATTGAAGGGGAAACAAGATTTTATGTTTTCTGTCCCACAGCACAAAATAACAATAATCCTGATTATTTGTGGGGGTTGAGGTTTGAGATGTTGCTAAAAGGGATTCTTTGTTGGACGTGGTCTAATTAGCCAGATGACTCATTGCTGTTGTGACAATTTGACTTTGTTATTTGTGTCAATTCCAGGCCAGTGTTGCTCGAGATAATGGATAGGGTTTGTAGGTAATGACTGCGGTTGCACGGAAAAACTGCAAATAAACAGTGTGGTTTTCTGCTTCTTTTACTTTTAGCACTGCCGCCACATACTCTTTCTTTACACTTCAAACTTAGGTACTGACGCCAGCTCAATGATTGTTCTTTTTTTACGTGGTTCAGTTATTAAGGCGTAGAATAATTACCAACACTGCTGAAGAGGAAAAATGGAAACTCTTCCCGTAAGACATATTATGGTGTCATGCAATTTCATGCTCTTGCAAGCTAGCAGCACAACAACACGGTGTCAGAACAAAGCATTTGATAATCTACTGCTATCTGAAGCCTAATTTTCTGGAAAGAATGTACGACAAACCTAATCTGTGTTTAAATAAATATGATTTCACTGAGGTGTCAACAACAGTAAAAAGTTGAAACAAAAAACAGAATATTAGAAGAAACCAGCTTCCACCTGTTGCGTGTGTTTAGCAAGATGAAGGCACTGCTTTCTCTCTGTTGTTATAATCTGTCACGTCACCAAAGGATGAGAGGCCTTGCAGACATACTACCTTGAGACTGAGGGGATAGAGCATCAGCTTCTGCAAACATTACAAACAACCAATAGTAAAGGCTGCAGTGGTCATGGCAACAGCACCCGGCCAAACAGCTGTGAGACAATATCCAAGTGATCCCGGGAGTAATCCTGAATGTCAGAGAATCAGGCTAATTTAAAGTCGTATCCTACGGGAACTTTTGATATATTCACAACCTGCCAAGTGACATGGTTGTGGTTATATATTATGGTGGCAATTTAATTTCCTGCACTTCCTATTAAAGAACTTACCAACCGACAATATTATAATGACATAATCTGACATTATCTACTATTTCCAGTCAGTCATCAAATTAAATCATGGCTTAGGGCTAAGGTTAACACACAGACACACATAACTGGGATTGAGGTGTGACGCAGAGATGGGCGGTCAAATGTGGCTGACTGGTTCTGCATTTTCTATTTTCTTTCAACTTAACTTTTATTAGAAATATATATTTCAGGTTTAAATAAATAGTAGCTAATGTAAAAAATCTGATAGCAACATATTATTGACATATTCTCAGACGCATACTATGATATGCGATTTGCAAGTGGGAGCCTCTGTGGTGCCATACTGACTCAAGTGACATCACTTGAGGCAACTTAACGGGTTTCACAAAGGAGTTCTCAATCACCTTTAGTTCTCATTAGACCTCTAGCCAAGTTGAGACTGATGTCACCAAACTGTATAGCACTAGTAAGAATTTTAACAGGCTCAATGGACTAGTTGCACAGCATACATTGTATCTTGTTAAAGCCAGAAAAACACAGGTGGGCTTCATAACAGTAACAATGGCTGGGTTCCATTAAGTGGTGGCATGACCTCCCCTAAGTGGAATGCAGCTATCATTAATACACCTGTGAGTTTCCTGCTATGACAAATGTCAACATATCTGCTGTGCCTCCAGTCCCTTGGGTGAGGGAGACGTTTGTCTACATTATCCTTAGAATAGGTCTAATAGGCAACAAGAGAAGAACTCCTGTGAGGGGGGGGGGCAATGGATTTAGTACAAAATATATGACCGCTTAAAATAGCAGCAAAGTTTGGATCCGGCCAGGATAATTGTTTTAAAAGCAGAGGCGCTTACTTGTACCTAATACAGAGCAAATAAAATGACTTTTTGTAATAGAAAAGGAGGAGTAAAAACAAAGAGTATTTTGTCACTATGTAGCACCAGTCCCCCAACCTAACAAGCAAATTGGACGGACAGAAAAGCAGCGGGAGTCTCAGCTGCAGGGAGGTGTAGCAGGCTGGATGTAGCTGCTACAAAGAGACCCAGGCAGGAGGGGCACTGATGAATAGAAACAGTTGGATACTAGTTCATCCCTCTGGTAGCAGTAGTATCTCTGCAAAATGTTAATATATAGTTTCCCCTTTTATTCAATATAAAGTAGCTTTCCTAAGATATACAAACCCAAGACCCCATGTGTTTTTTTATGGCTGCACCATTCCATCAAATGTCTTGTAAATCACTTTTTACACATTTCCTTCAAATTCATATACACATATTTGGTATCTTTGCAAACGTTTTGTGGGATGGAACAATGTTTGGCAGTTTATAATGTAAACTGGCCTGTTGGTGTGGCTTGTTTTTCTCTGTGATATTTGTTTAGCCTTTTTCTGACTAAAAGTAGAGGGAAGCGGTGCAGCCTGTAGATCCCAGTGGAGAATGAGGCCTGTTTGAAACTAGTTCCTACAGTATCCACAAGATAATTTATCAAAGTCACTAATATCCATTAAGTGTTGCTGTAATGTATCATTGCGTAATGTGTTACACAAATCTGAATAACTGAATAATAAGTACAATATTCCAATCTAACACTACCTGAGGACAAAATTACATTAGAGAAATGGATCATGGATTTTCACTTTTTTGGCTATGACATAATATGGAGCTCATCTCATTACACTGTCATAAGGTTTCGGCAGTGTAGTTTAATCAGCTGAGTGTTTCATTTAGAGTGTCTCAAAAATCTTTCTGCGCAAGATACAGTGAAATGTGGAAATCCCAATTTGTGTCAAGGCCGAGAGCATATTGATGTTTCAATTGAAATACTTGAAATGCCAGGTTATTCTTTTAGGTCAATTTAATTTTCTCAATATGCTCACTTTACAAGAGTAATCCTAATTGAATTTTATTGATTCAAAGCAGAGCCTCCAATGAAAAAACAAACCAATCATGGGTGTTATGTAATGCGGCATCTTGTCTGGTGGCAAAGCGGCATCAATTTATCACCTCGTTGGGCCAGTGCAAGTCTCGGAAAGAGAAAGAAACACCATGAGGCACTAGATCCAAAATGGCAGTGTTCATTAAAATTTGCTATTAGTAAGTTCATGCTTTCAACTAGTTGTTGATGCTCTGTAAGGAAAGGCAAACCTATTCAATTCCTACTTCTTTTCTCTTAAATATTAACTGCCATAAGTGCTACTGTTTGTTTTTTATATGTGTTATGTGTTTGTGTAAAACCAGACTTCCACATTTACCACTGGATAACCTGGAGCTATAATTTTCAATGTGTGCGCAGAGGCCTGCAATCCAGCTTTCTATACAGGATGTAATGTATGTTATCATAATGCTTCAGGCTCTTAGTACCTCGTTGTTACCCAGCTGAAACCAAGGCTGCTTCCCATAGGTAAAGATCTCCCACAAGATGACTCCGAAGCTCCAGACGTCGCTTTCCGTGGAGAATTTCCTGTACATGATGCTCTCTGGGGGCATCCAGCGGATAGGTAGCATGGTATGTCCTCCAACCTGAGGAGAAGAAAAAGAGAAGAGATCTTTATTACAAATGAAATGTTGTAGCTAAAACACAGATTAGAACATTCAGTCATCAACACAACTCCCAGGCGCCTGGGGATTAACTGTCCTTGCATGTAACTGATACGACGGGCTTAACATCTCATGAATGTCTGCAGTGCTGCTGGATGTTGACACTGATGCAATATGGGAAAATGCTGACTTATCTGCCACCTTCTCAGCATGTATTGAATCTCAGGATGTGAAATTCTTTAGGTTATGGTATTAAACCGCCCCTTTGTTCTTGATGAAAAATAGCAATCTGCAATCCCTTCCCTGCAGAAGTACTGGCATTAAGCAGAGGATCAGAGTCTCAAAGCATGGAATTGAATATGTTTTAATCAGTTTTTTAAATAAATCGGTTTCAACTGGGGGGGTAAAGAAACCTGCTGAATGGATCCTCATAGTAAAGAGGTTCATATGGCTTCTAGTGTAAATGCGAGTATTTAGATTCTACTTTATTTTGCCCTCCGCAGAGGAAACTACACGTCAACATGTAAACCTCCTGTATTCATAAGAAGGTTTGCATGGTGCAGGGTACCAGCTGAGGCAGGGGAGATATCAGCTGTAAGCTCTTTAATGTCTTCAAACCAGCAGAACATGAAATGAAGTCTCCCTTGCTATAAATCCTCAGAGGCTGGATATTAATCGATTAAACAATCATCCATTAATCATCCTTGCTCTCAGCTTCCATTAGCTGGCATTGTTTTAAAATCTATTTCCCATTCATGTCAGTGACTGTGCTTTAATCATGGCGGTGATGAGCTGGACAAGACTGATGTGGGAATGAGCGGCAAAGTATTGCAAGTTTCAGCTCAGAATCCTGGGGCAGTATTAATTGCAGTTATTATTGTGGAGCTCAGGAGTCAACGTACACTATTGACAGATAATGTTATTAACATGCTGCTGTGATTTGATGTGAAGCCTGCTGGAGCCTTTGTAGTTGCTACTGCACACTGAACTGCTGCTGGGATTGGTTTCTATCCATTTCAAGTGTTTGAAAGTATGACAGATTGTCTGGAAAGGAACTCAAAATCAAATCATTTGACAAAAAAAAAAAAAACAGCTTAGATCAGACCATTGACCATGAAATGTGGTTGAAAGGGTTTTTTTGGTCAAAGGAAAGGTTAACTCAAAATCAAGTTGCTTTCACTTTTCATACACAAGAACTTTGACGGTGGGTTCTTAAAAAACGTTACGTAAAATAAATGGAAATACTGAAATCTATGTGGTATTTACTACAGATTTGTGGTATTATGGTAAAAAGAAAAAGAAAAAAACAACCTGCAGCAAAAGTTAAAACTGTAATTATAAAGAACTGATAGGTTTGAATAAACACTTAATATACAGCTAATGAAACAAACTTCCACGCGAGGATCCATAATGTATTTCTGATTCTGATATGTTTGGCCAAAGTAGAACCTAATACACAGTAAGGTATAGATATAGTACAATACGCTAATTTTGTTATAGTGCATGTATGAATTCTGCCTGATGATGAAAACAAACAGAAAAAACATATATTTTTAAACACATTGCAATACTTATTGTATGGCATTTGTTGTATCACTTCCTTCCTTAGTGATTTTTGCTGTCATTTAGTTTTTGTTATCTGGTTCAGTTTTTGGCTTTTGCCGCCTATCTCACTGTTATCTTGACAAAAATGTCAAGATAACAGTGAGATCGACTTTTAAGCCCCTTTGAGGTTTTAATCTCCAAGTCAGTAGAAGTACTCCTGCAGCATATCAGAGACACATCTATCATCCATCCATCATCACAACCACCCATTCATCCATGCGTTCACTGATCCATCTAGCCGACCTTACACCATACATCCATCTAGCCCTCTGAGCTAATTTTCTGTGTGAAAGGACAAAACAAAATCAAATACACAGTCACACATATAGCATAAGCTCTGAAATCATCATTAGCACAACCTCTTGCTGTAGCTGCATTCACCCTCGCAAGGTTCCTCCGCTCTGTACCTCTGGGTTACAAAACAATCAGATTCCTTTAATCATAATAAGCTCTTCTCCAAACTCCATTTACCAGCTCCAACATCTGTGTGCCTTCAGCTGTGAGCATTGTGTGCCATTTTAAGTATTGGGGGGAAAAAATAAAAAAAATCAACTCACGTCTTACTAATTACCTCCTAGTTCCGTAGCGCGCTCATTGCAAATTTCCTTTGAAAGTCAAACACAATCTCTGCGTGTCAGCTTGACGCAGCAGATGAATCTTCTGGATGTTTTAAAGAAACATGAGATTTGTCAATCTGCCAAAAGGCTGCTCCTTCCTGGGCACTTATTCAAAACGTCCTCTAGTTTGTACACTTCATCAAATTTATTTGCTGAGTACGAGGCCTCTGTTTGTTTGCCTTTACTTGTCCTTCATCTATAACCTTCTCTGAAGGATACAATATGTAACAATTCCACATTAAAGAGTCTATAAACACTAGACCCAAATCTTTCCAACAATGTTCAAACCCAGAGAAATCTCTGATTTTATTCCAGTAATAGTGTGTTTTACTGGTTGTGCATGAGGTTGTCTGCCAGAAGCTGTCATAAACTGATTTTTAATCCAATTTTAAGACACATATTTATGATACACTTTTTAGCTCTTGTTAATTTTTTAACTATGTATTTCAAACAGATGAAGGATTTTTAAGGTGAAACTGCTTTATTACTTATATATTATATATGTTAATCACTGGGTCTGTTTGTTCCTGCTAAACAACTCCCATGATCCCACGCTACTTCACAATGTCATAAAAGTTCTTCTTTTTGTTATTGTTTTGATGTGGGAGAGATGCCCTAGTGGTAGAAATTACATATTGTACGTTGAAATCCTGAAGTGTATTGTAACAGCTATACCGACATCCATTACTACGTGTATGTATTAATCCTTTAATTGAACTATTAGCTACTTTGAAACAGGTGATTTATGAAACCATGTTGCACAATTAAAACCTAAAAAATTATTCAACTTGTGAAGACTTTCATTTCTCTAAAAGCACTCAACAGTGTTAACAGAAAGCCACTGTGGCATGACGAGCTATAGCCTAACATCCAAAACATTATTACAAACTTTTGGGGAAATGTAATTTCAAATCTTCCCACTTTTACATTAATATTAATTAGCAATTTCATAACGTGTCGGGTCTGAATCATATTCCATATTATAATATTATTCATATTTTTTTGTGTCAATTTCTTTTGCTGACATTATAGCTCTTGTCTATTTGGTCTAAAGTCACACAACATTTTAATTAGGTCAGGTCCTGTAATGATGGGAAATGAAAGTAAGTACTATCCTGTAAGGACCACTTGTGGCCACAGTGGCTGCTGTTCAGCAAAAGTTATATAACCATTATGTGCTAATGGTCACCTAAAGTACACTCTTTAAAGACCACTTTAAATAACTGTTACAGTAGGTGTTATTGTAGAAGACAAAGAAAGCAATTAATCATAAATCAAGCTCGTTGAGACTTCAAAAAAGCCCCTAATTTTCTAATATCTCACAAGAAGAAGAACCTCAAGGTATGTTGTATCCTGTGGATGTTGGATCTACAGTATGGTTACATGTATTTTGTGCCATTTTGGACATTGGAGCTCCTCAGTGTAACACTTTCAGTCAATAACTGTAGTGTAGAGCATTTACTGCACAGTGGTATCACAAGGTTTTATGCGTTCCTTACATTGAACACAAGTCGATATTTGTACACATGGCCTGGAGATCAACAAGACCATTAGAGACAGTTTTCTACACCTATATGCTGACTCTGAACCAAAATCACACTCCATTAAGCTCGAGAATGTCCAACTTTTTTTCTTAGTAGTGTTTCAGCAAAACAAATGAGGGGCATCATTTCACTTCCATTCATCCCTCACTGAAAAATGCTTATCTAAACAAATCATTTAAAGCTGCAGTCAGTCTTTAACTCGTTCTTCACTTTGAACAAATTATAACAAAAAATGAGACAGCAGAAAACGTCAGAAAACATACATCAAAATAAGTGCGCTAGTGACGCACTTTTGCAAAATATAGTTATGCTGAATCTTTTTACTCCTGTGCCCGCTGTGTTTGAAAAACTTTTTATTTTCTTAAATTTGTCTAAAAGTCCAGAGAGGGTTAGCTGAGCTTACTTATTTTTCAGCTCCATCCTGCTTCACATTAATACATTCACACACATTTACACCTCAGAGCTGCCCAGTACAACCACATTCTTCTGCTAATCCCACCAGGGGTTAAGTGCTCTGCTCAACTGCATCTCAGTTGTAAAGTGAGGAGAGAACACTTTTGTGTAGTTTTTCACGGATCCTCCAGTCACAATTCAGTTTCCCTATAACTTGCCAAGGGGCATCTGAGATATTAGCAGAATCTCAAAGACAAAAACATCTTTTACCTCCTAATTTTTCAGAGTCCTCCCTGCCTCGCTGAGTCCCAGACTAAACAAGTATGATCCACCACCCTGGAAGACAATCAAAGCTGTTGGTGTTTTACTTCAGAATAGTAATTACGGTAAACATAAATGTGAGAGGTGCGTTAAGTAAGGTGCCCTTTCTACATCTTAAACACACAGTATTTATTGACGGACCCAGATTGAATTTTGTGGCAGCGAGGAGGGTTGGCAGTAGTTTTCCCTCGCACTCACCCTCAACCTCATTTGCCAGTGTTCCACTGCAAGCTAATGACCAAATGAACACTGACTTATACCCCACCTGGTCTCATTAGACATGCCACATTTTAGTATTGTACACAACATTAAGCCAATATTGATGCCGAGACCAGTCGCCCCCGTTGTGCAAAACCTCTTGGCTGAGCCAAGCTAGGTGGGCTTAAAGTCAGGTGAAGGAGTCGTCGAGGGGCTGTATACCAATCTGTCCCCCTGTGGAGCTTTATAAAGATTAAACAAAATTAATTAAGTTCCTGTTAGTCTAAATGACTTATCTGAGGTC